TAGTGCACAGCTGATGCAATTGTACCTAAAGTTATTGAATTTGCCAAAATAAACAGAGAGAAAACACTTTTCACGTTCTTATGACTTAGGTGCAAATCCTGGAGTGTATTATAAACTGGTCTTTACAACCTATGAACAGATATGAACTGTAAGTCAGACAGAAATAAGAACTCCCTAGGGATGCTGTCCAAAAAAAGAAAAGTAGTCCCTGTGGAATAACTCCCTCTAAGTCATGCTGCTGCTGCTGAAAATATGCAATGAATCCGTCTGCAGCTGGAATTTCAGATGCCATAATCCCTTACAGAATGTTGTCTAATTATTTTATTATGCATAATAAATGTAAAATATTTATTTTAGCTTACATAATTATATTAAAAATGTATGCTATTTTTTCTCAGTTTTGTAAGACATCCTTCACAAGTCATATACTTTATAGAAAGGAATGCATGCTGTTTTGCTGGCTTGGCTGTTTGTTTTACACAACTTCCACACATTCTTATCTATGGCTAAGGAACACCCCTGCATATTGCCCTCCACTACCCCACCACCACGGGTACTCTGTGCAAAATGAACCATACAGTGGAATCCCAGAGAACTTAAAATTCTTTTCTTTAATCACAGCAGAGGGATGGCCTGAAGCACATTAACATAATAGCAGTCCCACACTCTTGTGGTCAAAGCTGAAGCAATACTCTTTCTGCATCATGAAACTATGTCAGTACTTCTCCCGAGCACTGTAATCTAACAAATTTGATCATGTGAGAACAAGGTTCTGCCTTTTGCATGCCCACCTTCATGTAACTCAGATCCATTTCACTGAAAAACCCCCCTCACACATACCATGAACATAAATTGCCTCAGAAGCTGTGACAGTTATACAGAAAGTCAGAACAAATGGGAGTTAAATTTAAAATCTTAAATATGAATAAACGAGCTTTCCCTATTTTAGACATATGCACAAAACCAGTTTAGTTCTGAAAATGCTGTATATCTGCATCTTTTATTGATATCATCAGACTTAGGAGAACTTTCCCCTTCTGCCATCAAGTTAAATTCAGGTACCTAGCTGTACTACAGGTTTAGAAAGTCTGTCCACAGCCCATAGAACCAACAGATTTTGAAACCTGTGTCACAGGCGCTGCTCATTTTCAGGATGTTATACAGCTCTTCAGTGCTTACTGTGCCTATTATCAAATGCAAACAGTATTGTTGTCAGTGTAACTCCAGGATGGTGTCATCTGAAAAGTTCAGCCACATAACACATCTTTTTTAAACGACTGAGAAATATAAAATAAGCATTGCATAAGTAATGGTGGTGCAGAGCCCTGTGAGACCAATTCTGTATTATAAAATTAAGTTAAACATTAATTAAGGGTGAATGAATATTTTTGTATGACAAAGCACATTGACTTAAGAATGGAGAGACATGCCATGTGATTTGAAAAAGTAAATGCAAAGGAAAATCATGAATATTCTTATCTAGATAGGAAAAACCTAAATTGAAAACACAAATGTGAAAAATATATAACCAAACATAAAAGTACATTTTCATGTTTATGAATATTATATTTTTCTTCCTTCTAAAGGATTTTAAAAAATAGACTGAAAACATAATTTCAAATTATAATTGTTACCGGAAGTCGTATACTACTGTGTCAAAAAGCAGATGTTAATTTCTTTTTCATCAAGATACAAAAGATTTAGACAAAAAAGAAAGTCAAGTGGTCACAGTACAAAAAACTAGATATGGAACATTTTTCCCAAGAATACTGAAGTACAACTATAAGCATACGCATACTATAGAGAATTTATAATTTGTGAGCTAAAAATGCTAAGTTAGTTTACTATTCCCTTCAGAAAAACACATCCATTCATGTCTTTTTCTAGTTAAGAAAAGAATGTCTCATGCTGTGTGTTATATAGGGAATAAATTGCCTTTTCTGTTCCATGTGGGCAAAATCACTCTTTTCCCCATAGTATCTTACAGCCGATTTCACTTCAGTTTATAAAGTTTATAACAGTTCCTAAATTCAGATTAGTTTCTTCTAATAGCCCTTTTTCTGTACTTCTAGCCAGGGTTATCTATCCTTTCACTCAGTAGACTGGCAAGAATTTTTGCAGGATGATTATTCACAATTTCAGGCTGAGGAATTGAAAAGCTTGAGGTCAAGAATCTCCAAGAGTACTCTCAGCACCAATGAGCTGAATGGGAATAGTTTAAATATATTGTACTTAGCCACTGTTTTAATTCAAATGTCTCAAACTACTTTATAGAACAGAGATCAGTTATCAATGAAAGGAAACTTAATATTAGCACTAACAATGGTTTTCTCCATACCCCAACACAAAAAGAGGAATATTCACCTCGCTGAAAGTACAAGGCTCATTAAAGAGTCTGCAGTTGCCAAGCAACACTAAACAGCAACACATGAAATAGTCTGGATGAACTTACAGTGCAAGGGCCAAGCTCACAGCATCACAATGAGACCTCAACCACAAGACATGGGGGTGAATTTTAGCAGTAGATCAGCAGATTTTGAAATCTTCATTTTAACGTTTTCTGTAGGTGACACTTGCAAGACTACATACCATCTGCTGAACTGGTGCAAACAATATTATTTACAGGGTTGCTAATAACTTCCCTTTAGAAGAGAAATACTGGGTGACTTGACAAGGAAGCACCATGTGATTCCCTTAAAATTGTAGTTTAAAATGAAGAGAGGTGGATAGAGAGCAAAATACATACTTGCCAACAAGGCTGGCTAATATCCCAGGCCTGTGGAAACTGGCAGGCACAAGCAGGACTGCTGAGCTAATAAATACAGCAGCCTCTCTACGGGCTCCTCTGCAGCTACAGAGTGCCTCACTGCCTCTATGAGCTTGTAGCAGCAGCAGCAGCATAGTTCTGGTTCCTGCGTCCCTACCAGATGTTTTTCAGCTGAGTTTGGAACACATTTCCTGCAGAATCAAAGCTTCATCAGCTGGTATCTGTAGAGATCAGCCTCCAAATGTTAGGTCAAAATTGGCCTGTGAAGGATGGAAACTAACATTCTATTGTCATTAAACATTTATTTTTCAATAATATAAAAGAAGGCCATGCCCAGATATTTCTTGTTAATCCTGATAAAATAATTATGCTTGCATCTTCTCTAATAATCTCCAGCATAATAAGATACTCATAAAAAGCTTGCTATTTCTTAGAATTTATATCCCATACTCTTTATCCAAAGTAAAATGATCTCCTGTCTTTCACTCAACAGAGCACTGGGTTATGCATTTTGTATCCTGAGTGAGGGAAATGCACCCACTCACTGGGTGTGTGTGACAAATCCCAGACTGATTCACATCTACAGTGCTCCAGTCTCTTGGGTCTTCAAGCCAAGGAGCTCAAACCCACTGTAACCCACCTCTCATTACATAGCTCTGTAATAAAACCATTCCTGCCAGTTGGCATGATTCAGTAAAAGTGGATGGCCGCAAGATGAAGTGTCCTCAAACACACGGCACTAAAGACAGCACTTCTTTTACCTTCAATGCAGCACATCATGTCACACTAATGATTATATGCTATCACTTCACCCAACACAGACCTTTTAGTGCAACTCCTTTGACAAATGAAAACCATCTTTAATTCTTAGATGCCTTACTGAAGCTGAAAAACCACTTCTACTTTTAATGAAAAATATAAAGAAAGCAGGGGCACTCTAAAGGTAGCAGCATAGAAACATAGCCCTCCCCACAAGGTTATCAAATTCAGTTCTCTGCAGTTCCAGAGTATGATTTAATGGGTGCTCAGTAGCAAAGAGTTCACAGAATGTCTGCCCCACACAAACAAAACAATGCAACAAGAAGTTTTGTACAGGAAATGTATGACAACTGCAGAGGCTTTCCGTACAAGAGTTTTCTGTAAAGTAGGCTATAAATAGCATGAAAACAGGTATTATGAGAGCAGATAGGCTTCATTATATAGTCTTGCTTTAGGGAACTGCATTAAAATTTTAATGAACATACAGCTGTATGTTCAGCATGCAAAGAAAATAAGAAATGCTATAGTGGTTTAATCAAATGTTTAATTTTCCCCTCTTATGTGCATGTATCACAACCCATACATCTAATCATATGCCATTTATCAAATATAATGCCAATTTTTAAAAACTTTTTGAACACCAACTCTTGCAAATGGCTCATAAAATAGTCTATGGTTTCCTTTATAGTACACATAGACCGGCCACCTCACTGCAAGGTATTAAAAGTATTCAAAAATGCAGAAGTGTATTTAAAAGTAAAGATTCACTTAAGAAGCAATGAGATAATTTAATAAGTAGTCTATAATGAACCAAAAACACAGGCAATAAGCACCAGAAGTAATCTTCACTGTTCAATCATGTGATTCTTCTAAATTTAATCTGCTGCCCTAGCATGGGGATGGGTTTTAATGGTGTAATAAGGGAGGCTTTGCCGTGCAACCAACCCTATGGCCAACTCTCATCCAAACACCCTGGCTAAGGAGGAGAAGGAAAACCGGAACAGAACAACAAGACTCTGAAGAACTGTAACTAGCTTGAGTTGCTTCCAGTTCTAATAAGTGTCTGGTGAGTATTTAGGCTGGTAAGCCTTTTAGAGAACTTTTTCTTTCTTGGTGAAATGGTTGCAACTCAACCAAGAAAAAATTCAAAACCGCAGCTGATTTGAAAAGGCAATGCAGATAAGCAGCCTCACCACAGAGAATTCCAACAGACACTGGAGCAGCTGTGAAACAAACACTCAACATTAGCACTGTAGTGTTACCACTAAAAGGCTTCCCATCATTTGTTTTTCTTTATAAAGTAATACCTAAATACTGAAGACTAAGTTTTTAAATTTAGCTCCTAATTTAATATGCAATTACCACTGCCCTGATGGTGTTTTAATGGCAGTATATTTTTATTGGTGACTTCAAATGAACCTCATCTGATCACCTTAACCCTTCTCTCGTCATGCTTTAGTTAATGACTCATTACCTGTAGTCACACCAGGGACATCTGTAAGGCTTTTCTCCAGTATGGACACGCTTATGTCGTGTCAGATGCGATTGTGTTGTGGAAGCAAAGTTACACTCATCACATTTGAATGGCTTCTCTCCTAGAAGGTGACAAGAGAAGATTATCAGTTTTCATCTACAGAAAAGGAAAAGAAGCCCAAATTTCTGGCATATCCCTTGAGACAGCTTTTAGCCCATGTATATATAACAAACACAAATACAACATAAATTTCCAAATACAATGCATTAATTTCAAAATATGACAGAAATACATCAGTATCCACCTGACTTCTCACGTGGAATTACACAGCAGCAAAAAGGAGGAGAAAAAACTGAAACAGAATAACCTTGTTACTGGGTCTTATTCCATGAAAATACCATAACCAGGTGACAGGCATTCCTCACACACTACATCTCTTCAAGCTGGGTGAGGAACAGTCCCAAAAGCAACACTGGGGGAGGCAGAATGTGAAAAATCACACTGATGCTTGTAGTCAGCACCTGCTCAGAACGGAACATCTCCAGGTGAAAAGTGTCTTTGTTTTCATCTCCAACCTCAATTTTTAATGTTATCCTTTAAATAACATAAATAAACTGTGACTGAGAATATGAACCAGAACTCTGTGCTCCATTCCCCCTATCTTGCCTGCTAGTCTTCTGCCCTTGTTAATATTTTCTGAACAGTAGGCCAATTATCAGTAGAAGGACTTGAAAGGTTAATGAAAATAAAACAAACAAACAAAAACCAACCACCAAACCTAGACAAGGACAATATTTTCAGAAGACTAAAATTCAATCTCTGCTGAATGTGCAGCTGCACTGAAAATTTCTAGAGGACTACTAAGTGAAGAAGGGTAAAAATCTTTATTGTCAAAGTTGTAATGTGAAAAGAATATTCTTCCTTCCAGTGGAGGAGTCTACCCCTTAGAAGATACTGAGATAAAACCACATGACAGATACACGCTGTGATGACTAGCTAAGACACCTGCATCCCATTTTCCCAACTTTTTCCACATTTTCCAATTTTCCAATTTTTGCCACAGAAATATTCTGTGGGGCTTATAGGCAGATATAGTTATCATTTAGGGAGGAAACAGGTTTTCTTTTGTATGGAGAAGACAAAAGCCAGCTCCTAACTTCAGTGTACCCTCCAGTGCACATCCTTCAGAAGTATTTATCTAAAAACTACATAAGGAATCAACATCCCTGACTTAAGAAGTCTGGGTAAAGCTGCTAGGGACAGACATGTACCTTGTAGACTGTTCAGAGGTCTAGGACAGGCAGTTTCAAAATTGAACCCTAAGCCTATTAGGAGGCACAATTTGAAGTTTTTCAGAATGACAGAAGACACACCACCCGTATAAGACTATCAGTAAGAGTGGCCTTTTGCAATCAGTAGCAAAAGGCCACTCCCAAATGGCCGTGCCTCTAAAACGAATTTTTCAAGTCTGTTCACAGCATGAGACACTGAAGATTTTGAAATAGATTTTGCCAGAATTCTGAGAACAGAGAGAAATATGCATTTTTCCTTCTTGGAGCTTGTTGTGGGTTTTCCTCCCAAGGGAAAAAGATACGCAAGGTCCTCAAGGTCTGAAAAGCCCCTAATGTGGGATGGAAAGACAACAGAGCAGCTTCTGAAAGCTCCATAAAGAGCTGGCATAATTGCTTTTAGCAGCTGCAGGAGAGAATACCAGCCAATGTTTTTCATTTATTGTTTCATGGGACAAGGAAAGGTGAAGGGGCAGGACACAAAGCCAAAGCCTCTATGCTGGACAAATTGAGACTGCTAGAAAGTATGTCTTTCCTGCCCCAAATGGGGTTTTCTTGTCAGACCCTGACACTCTGCTCTGGAGAAGCTGATTGTCCCAGCAGCTTGCATGGTAGTAGCTGCTGCTTCAATTAAACTCTCTGGGAGGCCATAGACTCCCTAGCAACGTAACCTGTTCTTGAACTGAAGATTTCCTCTTCTGATTTATTTTATCATCTAGCACTAAAGAAGATAGCAACATTTTCAAGCCTAAGTAGTTAAGCCACAGGTATTTTAGATAACATACATACTTATTTTAACTGCTTTCATTTAAAATGCACTAGAACCTTGCCAACTTGCCCCCTTGTAAAAATAGGCAGATCTGAACTGAAAGGAGATTTTTAGTTTGCCATTCAGGGGAAAATGGATCAAGTAAAGGTTTGCTACTGTGCCAGGGCAGGGCCATTGGGGCTGACAGCCGAACGAGAGCCTGTTGAAGCTAGGAGGGCTTGCAAATTCCACTGTGACCGTAAGAAAAATTATAATCTTTGCCCACTGCTCCAGGAAGTTTTTCCTTAGGAAATCCTTGTGGCTAACTGCTCCTGTCAAGTAGACTGTGTGTAAATCTCACCTGACAGAAAATACATCACAGTAGCACCACACAACAAAAGCTAGCTAAATGGGGAGGAAAAAAGACAGCCTAGCACAGCCTGTAATTCTTAGCAGCTGTACGTAAGAAACAGTATTTTTATGGAAAATTGACCAGGTTAATTAGTATAGTTGAAAAATACCTAAAAGACAACTAGGTATTTTTTTGGATTGGGTGATCCTGAAGAGTTTATTAGCTGCAGGAGTACTTTTATTTATTTTTTTATTTATTTAAGTTTTCCACAGACATACTGATTTAAGAATTTTTTGTCTTTCCTATCTATGGGCTAGGATGTTTCTAATCAGTCTTTGTGTTCCCATTTTCCTTCCACCATTCTTGCCCCCAGACATTTCAGGCAATAAACATAATTCTTTTAATACAGGCTGCCATTAAAAATTCCAAGAGGACTCTTGCTCACCCCCAGTCAAGGTTCTAATTCATACAAAATTAAAACTATACAAATGAAAATATCAGTATTGACGGTATTTTTAAACAATAATATGTAATGACTTTAAAATAGTGTATCCATAATCGTAAGGACAAAGTCTACATATTTAAAGACCAGTAAAGGTAAAAGAATATGAAATATCTCCCCTCCCCCATTTCCATTACAGAAGACTTGTCTGTGTCTCACCAGCTCTACCTTTATCAATAACAAGTCCCATGAAAAAGATAGGTGCCCCAAAATGATTCAGTGGTCAACAAGCTCCATGGGGGAACAAAAATGAAGGACACACATTTCAAGATCAAGGACCCACTTTATGGGGGTTTACTTTGTTTTTAACACAAGCACTTTCAAAAAGCTATATTTCCTGATAACAGGATTACAAATGGAATGGCTTTGCATTTTTGACAATACTGCAACCAGCTTCTGAAGTGCATCTGCTGTTTAAGTCACCTGAAATGGAAATTTGAGCTCCAAAAATCAATAATTGGAAAAGAAGATCACAAAAGGGCCAGTTCATAGGGAGCACTAGTATATAAAAGCAGTTATTAAAGCTGCTGCTAATCAGTAACTGAAGTTTTTTTCTTTTTCTCTCGCTACTAGACAATTTCTTAGGTAGGAAGAAAGTTTTAAATACCCAGGGTTTTGGTGACTTTGCTGGTCAAAGCTCTCCTATAATCAGTTTGCCAATCCGCTGCAAATGTTGGTGTAAATAGAAAAGGGAAAACAACAAAGATGCTCTTCAAATTTAATCTCTTCTCTTGCTGAAAAGAGCAATAAGTCTTCTTACTGTGCTACATTTCCTATGGTATTCAACATTATAATTTTTTTAAGCTGTGGTGGGGAAGCTGAAGGGAAGAGGCTACATTATACATTAAATTCAATGCCGAGTAATGTAACTACACATTAAAGTCAAAGAGCAGTTCTCATGAGAAATAGAAACACAAAGTGAGTCACTCATCTGGATAAAAACACATATATTATTAAATTTTCTTTCTTTATTACACTGACCTATAAACGTCTTGAGAAGTGCAAGATTGAAATGAGTGAGCAGAAGCAATCATACAAACAGTGCTCTGTAAGATACAAGCTACTATCTTCAAAAATGCATGAAAATATTTGAACAAAGACACGATCTCCTTAAGCAATTCCATAGGTTCATGGTGACTGCCAAGAAGTGCACAGTAAGTGTACTCATCCACTAACCCTTTACTACTGTGATGTACTTCTACAGCCCTGGGAAGATCCCACCACAACTAACACATGGGAAGCAAATGCAGACTGTTGATGTGCAGAAGATGAGGATGGGGTTTTTGCAGTTTGCAGGAGTACTAACCAACATTAAAAAAGGGATTTCATGCAAGAGAACATGGGCTGTAACTGCTCAGCACTGTTGGACTGAGACAGCTACTATAGCACAAAATGGAAGCTTACCAGGAAACATGTAGAAGAGGGGACAAACAAAGGAGGTGAGCAGAACAATAAGAGCAAGAACATAAAGAGAAGACATTTTAAAATTATTATTTCCATGTTTTCATTTCAAGCAAGAAATAATTACCTTTGCTTGTTATTTCTCTCTTATGCAATTTCCTCGTTGATCATGTTTAAGGCAAAATATCTAAATTATCTGATATTATATGCTTTGTGTATGTGTGTATATGTGTGCGTGTGCATGCGTGTGTGTGTGCGCATGTTTATTTTGGTGGCTGTTTTAGAGGTTATTTACCCTTTTTTGTTATAATATTCAGGTAATTGTTTAATTCTTTGTGCAATTCGATTTACTCTAAATCCAGCAAAAACTATCTTCAGGAAGATTTTCTTACAGGGACAAAATACAAATCAAAAAAACTTTCTTCAGGATGACTCAAAACACAAAATCTTTTCCGCCCAGCCTTGTTGAGACACCAGAACTACCGGAACATCTCTGTTCCTCCAGCACTGCAAACTATCCCTTATTTACCACATAGCACCAGCTGATACTGTGTGCAGTCCAAGTTTCTTAAGACAGTTTATCACAGCCTAGGCAGCCACAAGTGCCTATTGTAAAGCATTTGGCAGACAGAGATGTAAGTATTCCTTTCAGTGTGATAAAATTCAGGCCAAACTCTGAACCACTCCTTAAGATGCCATTGCTTCAATTCACAAAGTAGAAGTTTAGGCCACGGATATTTACATCATCAGTGAAAGACTTTCACAATACCAGTGACAGATTCTTGCAGAATAGGACTGGAAGAAGGTGCACTCAGGTCATAAAACAATGTTGGAACATGTTCGCAGGACAAAATCAGCCAACGACTTCACTTATTCTCTGTCCCAAGTGTATGTTTCTCACGGGACCAGGTCATCATTAAGGACATGATATATTTAAAAGAGAATAAAAATATCAACTGCTACAGTTGAGAACAGGAATCTCTTGACAGGTCAAATTATTTGCTCCTACTTTACAGTTGAGAAAGATATTTCCTATATCAAGGAAATCTTTATGCAGATGCATCATGTTTACAAGTATATTAAGTACTTGAAAGTTTTTCAAGTCCTAAAGCTAACGGCTTCTTTGTTCAGTTTAACACTGCTGTATTTCTTTTCATTCAAAACCAAAAACATCTCTTCAGGGGATAACATCCTATTTGCCAAACTGGTCTGTACAGTTTGCTGCAAGAGTCACCGAGGGTTAGATTCTGCCAGCTTTTTTCATGCCAAGTTATACTTCATGCCCCCCATAATACTTCCAAAGAAAATGCATCTTTCACAAGATAAAGGCATTTTTCCAGGTACAAAGAAAGAATATCATCTATAAAGGGAAGAACAGAGTAAGAAATACCAGAATAAGCAGTATCAAAAGTCTAAGTGGCTGGTCCTACAGTCAGTGCTCTCCTGTGTCAAATCTCTACCAGCAGCTGAACATTTCTCTGGGGTGTTGGGACATCTCAGGCCTTGAGGCTGGGACGAGAGGAGACTTGTTAAGTTGGTTAAGACTCCTTAATTACATGTGAGGATTTGTTCATTTGCCCTTGCACTGTGGGCCTCTGACAGGTGATAGAAGTAAATCTTGGGTTGGAAGATGTTCTGTGTCAGCCCCCTAGACAGCTTGTATTACAGTAGGGAATTATTTAAGCCATTTAGACTGTTTTTGACACCTATCCCTTTCAAACCTGATTGTAATTTGCTTTGGCATTCTTCTTTGGGAAAATTGTGCCAAGTGGGGACAGAGAAAAAAAAATAAGGTACAAAGAAAGGTAAAAGTAGGAGTGCATAAAGCTAATGACTGAGATAAAGTTGAGCACTGGATGAAAATACAATGGAACCCATGGAAGTGCAACAGTGCTAGCAAAGGTGGATTGTGTCATTCTCCTTGAAACAAATAGAAGGTAGAGATAATTTTTCTGCTAAAGAATCATCTCTGATTGTTTGTGCCACAGAGGCAGATAAATGCCAAAAAGATAGATCCCTCTGCCTCTGAGATACTGTCCTATATAGTATAAAGTTAATAGCAAAGTAATAACGAGCCTCCAGTCCTGACATAAAATATAAAGTTATGCTTGCTAGATGCAAGCTTCATGATCTATAACCTGTAAATCCCTGTGATCATAGCACAAGAAGCCTCTACCACACTGGCAAAAGAAGGGCAAAAATGCCTTCAAAAACCTGGACAGCTTTTCACCAGAAGTACACCATATTTTTAGCCTAATTCTGCACATAAATCAGCAAATAAAACAGTTTTTCTCTTGGCTGGTGGCCTAATGCTACAATACATATATATATATATATATATATATATATATATATTTGATGATAAGGGCTTACATTTCTGAGAAACTAGATCTACACTCACATAATAGGTAAAGACAAGAAGGGTGAATACAAAAATTTGCATTTCTTCTACATTCCCTACCTGAAAGCACTATTTACCATTTGTGTGGCTGCATTGACTATGGGTCCTAGATACATGCAAGATCCCAATGTGTCACACGGCAAGGCAATGAAAAACAAAAGGTATTTCCTATCCACTTGATCACAATAATTTTTTTGCTAATTAATTAATTAATTAGTCGATTTCTCAGCCTACATTTGTTAAATTTGTGCCCACATGTGAAAATTCTTCAAAGCTCCAGTAAAATGGAAACTTTAATTACAACTGAAGCATGCAACTTCTATTCCAGTAGTTGTAATTGCTCATGTTAACATTCAGAGTGTAATAATAAAATAACTTACTATATTTACTGAATTACTTTTATTGGTCACTTGAAAAATACAAACTTGATGCAGAGAATGGGAACTGACTGTGGCAGAATTCTTCCACAAATTTATGTTCCTTGTTATAAGAAAAAAAAAAAAAAGATTCTGAAAGCAGGATTACTAACTAGACTTACAAACAAATTTTGGCCCTGAATGCACATATATTTTTTTAGAAACATTAAAAAATAAAATTTTAGCTTATCTGTTTCAATATATGTTTATTGCCTGACCAGCACTGAAAATCCCACCTTTCTGAAAGCATCAGAATCTCCTCCAAATATGATTGCTTTAAATAAACTGAAAACAGGGTGGGAAGAATGGCTTCAGGCTCTCAAGAAAGAGAGTAGCTGCTCTCCAGGAAATTACACATTTAGATGGTATATGTCCTCAATGAAGATTAGTTTATACAGGGACATAATAAAATCTCCCACTGTGATCCCTTTACAAAATCCATGGAAAATTCATGATGTAACAACTACAGCTTCTCATTTGTTAGCCATTTCTTACCACTGTACATTAGACAATGGTCACTTAACTCACACAGCAATTCCTGATGATATTACATTATCCTCATGATAGTCAGTAAAACAAAAAAACTACACTGGCTTAAACAGCAACACTTCTATGTCTGTTTGAACAAAATCTATCCAAATAATCAAACACTTACAAGGAACTACTAAAAAGCACAATTAAGGTAGAATGTATTAATAAATGTTTAATACTTACACTTTTTCTGGTCTTCTGAAACTAAGAACCAGTTTAATTTTGTCTGATATTAAAATTTTATAACCATGTGGTAGGAAAGCTTTACTAATTCTGGGAGAGAAATCTTGCTTTACATGCCAGCCATGTGGTAACTCTTAAAGTTGCACCTATTAATTACAAACTATCTTAAAATTATGAAAGGGCAACTGAAACAACACTAGCTTTCAACTATGCTTCGGTCCAAAAAAATGGAGTAATTTATATGTAGTCTCTAATTTTCACCCAGGGACATTCTAGCAGTCTCTTGCAAAATCTTCACAGTAGGTAATCTATTTGGGCCTCGGAAAAAAAAAAATTGTAGACTTAGTATTCATTGAAAGAAGAAAGCCAGTCTTCAGAATTCTCCTTCCTTCAGAAAAAAAACAAAAAAACCCCAAACCCACAAAAAATACCCCCCACTCCCCCCCAAGCAATTATTCAAACTCCCAGCGAACAGATTTGATGCAGACCCTGGGCATACCAATTTCACAAAAACGAGAAAAAGCAAAGCAAACAATGAGCCAATGTACTATTTGTGCTGTAACGTGCTATTTGACTTGTGTTACTCCCCAGTGTAGAGGGACTCCCTTGCTGGGGAAAATACAGCGAAGAGTAAAGACAGCTTTACTGACCTGTGTGCTGCCGCCGATGCTTGGTGAGGGCATGACGTGTCCCGCCGGCAAAGCCACAAAGGTCACAGAGGAACGACTTCTCGCCTGTTGCAACAATAAACAGATGAGGGACTGCGGAGGTCACAGATCATTAAAACATATCTATCAAGGCTTTCAGGGTTACTAATTCCTCCAATCAAATGTTTCCATGTAAATATGTCAAATGGGAATGAAATTACCACTGCGGTTTATTGACTGTGATAAAATCTGAAAAGCACCACTGAACATAATTACATACTTGTCAGACCCATAAAAATTAGCTTTATTATCAATGGAATGGTTTTGTACAACTTCATTTCTGTTAGATGTCTTCCAGATGGGGCTGCTTTATGCACTTGAACAGTTTTTATGCATATCCTGATTTTTTACAATTCCCATACATCTGGCCTTTCTGTGCTGAGTAAAGATTGCCTGGAAAAAAAAGTTAATATACTGTATATATGATTCTGCTTAAATAAAATATATTTAATTTACTAACAAATTAAAGGTACTGAGAAATTTTCAACAGACTAGGTCACAGTCATCTTTAGTTACCTTCTATTTATTAATAAGTATTGAATTATTTTCTTGAACACAAGAAGAGTGCAGGCAACAATAAAAGCCAAATTATTCAGTACCAGTGGCAATTCAGCACTGTTTATGTTTCTAAAGTTTTCATGGCATAAAGAAAACAGGTCTGGGGATTGCTACTGAAATTGCAGCAGAACTCACGTTGTTCGTCTTCAAATGATAACTCTTCATTCCAAACCTCTGGACGAATTTGAGAGATTTTGGCAAGCTTGATACTCATTAAAAGTGTATAAATGCCCTCTTTTTAACTTTTTTTTTTTTTTTTAAACAGAAGCTAGGATTTTGCCCTGTTGCCTATAAATAGAGTTTATCAATTCACAGTAGTATTTTTACTCAGTATGTGCTAACGTGCACAGAAATCTCAGTCCTTAAAGGCCTCATGGAAGGTCACTATGAATTAGTAACACTAACCTCAGGTATAGTCTCAATAACCTGATATAAGAATGAATTTTTTTTTTAATTTTTTTTTTTAAATAATCCCATTAGTCACTTGGAGCCAAATTGTCTCCTTTCATGGTAACACAGCAGAGATGAGGCTGGTGGGGCAATGATGCTCAATTCATTGAAACTAACAGTCTCCTTCCAATTCTTCCCAGTGGGGAAGGAAATTTAGTTCCTACAAAAGACGGCTGGGTTAAGAGGTCTGGTGTCAAATTACCAAGTCCTCCTGTGGAGACAGAAGGATGGAAACCTCCATGCTGTTTATTCCCACATAACCAGGCACAGGAATACACAGAGTTTCTGGAAAGGCACAGTGCCTCAGTTAACTTTAGATACTGCTCATATAAGCAAGAGACCATTTCCAGAGTGGGAGCTCCCAGGAGAGCCTCGCAGGGACCAGCTGCCCTCTCCTACCACCACCTCCATGAGGTCTCTGAGGAACCCCAGCTCCTCACCCCAGGTGCCCCAGTGAGGGAGACCTGGGCCTTTGATACCAGGAGGAAAGCAATTTCAAATTTTCCAAGGCAGCTTGAATACCTACAACCCAAATGAGATGACAAAAGAGCTGATAAACCTCTGCCATGTAGTGAGACTATGAAATGCAATGGGCACAATTTCAGAATTTCACTGTTTCAGAAAAAAGCAAATGGTGCATTGTTATTTTCTGCACCTAAATCTGGTCATGTAAAGCAGACTGAAATTATACAGGACTTTGGGCTTTTTTAAAAATTTTAAAATGTCTCTTGATGAGAGTATCCCAGAAGAGCAGCTAAGGTGCAAAATAATTTCAGTACCACTTTTGGGAGTCAATCCCAGCAATCTGTTGTTATAATTGAATCTAAAAAACCCCATCAGAAATAAAAGAACAGAAACCCATTCTCACTATCACATGAACAATGCTTTTGTGCTAAATGACATGACAAAGTTCGAATTTTGCTGCAAAATGCTTGTCAGTAATATTATGGCTGAGGCTATGCATGATTGTTACACAGATTTCTGCAAAGTCTCTTCCAAGCTTTTTTTAAAATTACTTTATGGCATTTTAAAAATCAAGGTCTTCAGCATGTAGCACTTCAATTCATCAAAATATCAAAGAAAAGGAATAGAATGACTACACATAATGCTTAATTATAATTAAATATTAATTTAATTAATTAATCAATTTTAAGTATAAATCTTTCTAACTAGCAGTAATGCGTAACACCCCAGCATAAAATTCACACTTTAAAGTTAAATGCTGTTCCATGCCTACCAAGAAATTGCTCATCATCTATATATTATCATAAATTAGCTCATGTTGTGTTTAACATCTAGGAGCAGACCTCAGTATGGCCTACAGCTTTATACACTAATGAGGACAAAGAGCACCTATAGCATCTTTGCAGACTCATGGATTTACTGGGTAGTTTATATTTGG